AAGGCACAGAATAAAAGTACAAATGAGGCCTCCAAAGATGCGATGATCACATGCCAGTTCTACTGAGGGCACTTTGGCTAAACAATCATAGGAAGGCACTTCCTGGACCAGAAATTATTACCAGTGAAACACCGCTTGGCATGTGATATATTTCGCTTTTATTGTTGGCCCTCTTTTCTATTTGACTAACCTTTTCAGGTTCTGGATCCCAGGTCTCTAGGTTCAATTTCTCCCCCCACCCCCTTTTTTTTGTCCCAGCACCTTTAAGACCAGCACAGTTTAATTCTGGGTGTAAGCTTTTGTGTGCACGCACGCAGGCTTCTCCTGACACACTGAAACAAGACTTCCTCAACTATTACGTATGGGGGGGCGGGGGTTTCAGTTGCCAGGAAGGGCTAGTTAGGGTCAAGATGGATAAGGGACTGGGGCAGTGACTATATCTGGGATTGGATTACGGCAATTGGTGAATTGGTGAGAGGTGGGAATAGCAGCAGCAGATCAGCATACAGATAACAAAAGTGGTTAACAAACAGGTGTGAGAACAATGGCTGTTTGGTTCCCCCCCCCCAATGTCTTTTGCTCTCTCTAGCAGTCCCAGAGGGAGCAAAACACATGTGGGAAGGGGGGGGGACGGCCCCAAAGCAACAGGGAGGGACAAAAGAGTGACAGAAATGACAGTGCGGAAGTGGCCTCAATATGGGTCCAGGGGCAATGGGACGGGGTTGGGTCCAGGGGTACCCAGGAGAGTGTCAGTCCTGTATCTGACGAGGAGGGGCCCTTCCACTCTGGAAAGCTGCTGCAGTGATACTGTTGCTGGCCTCTAAATTGCCCCTGGATTCAAATCTCAGGAAGTCGCCAATTCATAGGAGAGACCGACTCTCCCCATAGGAGCCCCATAGGGTCCTGAGGTCCACAAATCAACATCTGTTAGTGGTTCCCGGCCCCAGGGGCGTCCAGCTAGCCTCGACCAGGGCCAGCCTATTGCCGTTCTGCAGGGCCTGCAAGACGGAGCTCTTCCGCCGGGCATTTGGTGGAGGCAGCGGACTCTTCCCCCCCCCCCTTCGGCTTCTCTGGCCCTAACTTTTTCTGTCCAGCTTTTCCCGGCCCATTGTCCACCAGTGGGCCTGATTCTGACGAGTCACCTGACAGCTCTTATAGTTACACGGTATTTTACGATTTTATGTGTAAACTCTTGTTTTAATTGTATTTTAATACTGTTTTAATTGTATATTTAACTGTTGTTCACCGCCCTGAGCCCATTGGGGAGGGGGGTATATAAATCTAATAAAATAAATAAATAAAAATAAATAAATAAATCCTCACCTGGAGCTGCCCCAAATCCCCGGACTTTGCAGTTACTTCTTTGGTATTCTTTTTGTGCGGGCCCCTATAACTATCGGCCATTCTGGAAGCCAAAATTGCGCCGTCTCACCCCCCGTCCCCCCACTGGCTCTGAGGCTGCCAGGTCTGCTTGTCTTTCTCTGGGGCCTTGGGATGGGTTCTTGCCACACAAGAGTTTCTCTCTCCTATACCAAATCTCCGGTTTATCTGCGCAGAGAACGTACTCCACCGAGTTCAGTGGACTGAGGATAGGCAACCACCTTTTCTGTCTACTGTTCTCTTAAAAACTCCCATTTCCCTCCCTCTCGCACCCGTCTCCTTTTAGCCGTTCCCTGGCCCAGAAGGCCCACTCAGCCAGAGGCACGTGTAACTCCTCATATCTATGTATTGATTTGATTTGTATACCGCCCTCCCCGTAAATGGGCTCAGGGCGGTTCACAACAATCTCAGTACAATATCATTAAAACAACAATTAAAACAATAAAACCATAGAATACTGTTGCTATTGTGTAGTGGGTTGCCGCATGGACGAACGACAAACAACGACGTAGTGCATAGCACACTTTATTCAGAACACAACAAAGACAAGGAACAACGGCCAGCAGGCCAACTATATACACAACCAGGGGACACACCCCTGGGTCCCATTGGCGGGTTTGAATCTCCTACCACGGTCCCATTGGTTCCCCCAGTGGAAGGACTAGGATCCTAGTCCCTATTGTTACTCTGGACAGAAGCTCAGGAGTGTGCGCTGGCCTCTGGTGGCGGTCAGCGGACACAACAGTTGCAAACAAGCTAGTTCTGATATCTGTTCAGCAGTGCCGATGTTAACACCCAGGCCACCAAGGGGGAGATAGCCAGGAAGGAAGAGGGACATTCGCCACCTCAACCAAAAGCCCAGCGGAAGAGCTCCATCTTGCAGGCCCTGCAGAACTGTAGTAGATCCCGCAGGGGGGCTCTGATCTCGTATGGGAGCTCATTCCGCCGAAAAAGCCCTGGCCCTGGTCAAGGCTAGTTGGGTGTCCCCGGGGTCAGGGACTGCTAGAAGATGTTGATTCGTGGACCTCCGTGTTCTCCGGGGCTCCTATGGGGAGAGGCGGTCTTGAAGGTATGCTGGCCCCTGGCCGTAGAGGGCTTCGAAGGTCAGCACCAGCACCTTGAAACGGATCCGGAATTCAATAGGCAGCCGGTGCAGTTCACGCTTATGCTCGAATACCCTTTCGATTCTTGCACCCCAACACTTCCATCTGTAAATGCTAAACCTTGCTTTGGAAAAGATCAGGTTCTTTTGTGGGTCCTGGCAGCCAATGAAAGACACTTTGAGCTTCACTCGCCCACGATCCAGGTAAAGATCCCTAAATTGCACGTTCTGCTCCCCCGGAATTGGTGAGTGGGTCCATCTTCCCGGCTAACCAGGCTGTGGGCGCAGGAAGAAGTGTCCCCCCCCCCACACACACTGGTTCCGAGCGAGGGTCCCAAACAATGCTCCCTCTGAGCTGTGGAGTCTTGTGAGCAGAAATTCTACCTTGTGAGCGACGGGCGTTAAAGTTGCAAGCCAGCGATTGGGCTCCTGCACCAATCAGTCTGCCCTGGAGCCACATTCCTTCCTGAGCCGAGACAAAAAACCCTCCTTCCTGAGCAGGAACAAAAATGTGTGAGCCGGAGGCTAAAAAAACTGTGAGCTAGCTCGCACTCACTCAGCTTAGAGGGAAAGCTGGTCCTGAACCTGAGTCAGAGCATCCACACGTGTCTAAGGAATGCGGAGGGAGGTTTTCCGCTCTGGTCTCCGTCCTCTGACTCTGCTTTTGGGGAGGCTGCACTGGACTCCCTCGGCCACTAGTGGGCACTCAAGGGTTCCCCTTCGCTCGCTTCAAAGCATTCCTTATGGGTTCTTGCGGGGGGGGGGAGGGGGGAAAGGGGGGAGGCTGGGATGAGGCGTGCCTGTGTCCGGGGGAGGGAGGGGGGGAGGGAGGCAGGGCCCGGCTTGCGGCTGAGACTCTGGGGTCGGGTCCTTCACTTCCTCTGGCCTGAGAATGCCGCCAGGCCGGAAGGAGTTCCTTCATCCCACCCCCCAACGACCTCCCTCGCGCCCCCTCCTGGATCCCATTTGACTCGTCAGCACAGAATGAAGCTCTGCTTTCACAGAATGTTAAGAGTTGGAAGGGACCTAGCAGGTCATCCAGTCCAACCCCCCCCCCCTGCACTCTGCAGGAGCACAGCCCTACAACAAACCCGAAAGATGGTCGTCCAGCCTCCGCTTGGAAACGTCCAGCAAAGGAGCATCCACCAGTTTGGTGCAGTGGTTAAGTGCACAGACTCTAATCTGGGAGAACCGGGTTTGATTCCCCACTCCTCCACACGCAGCCAGCTGGGTGACCTTTGGTCAGTCACAAATTCTTTCAGAGCTGTTCTCTCAAGGGCAATTTCTGTCA